TTCATGTTGAAGTCTGAAAAAAATCTCACGTCATCAATTTCAACATTTTCATTTTTTTACCCTCAAAAAACACTTAGGGGTTCACTGCAGGACTGTCTAAACATTACTAGTGACAAATTTAGTACAATCCATATGGAATTTAATGAAAAATATTTAATGAAAAATATTTAACAAATATTTATCAAACATTCAGGTGTTTAAAAATGTCTCTCTTTTCATGATGGGAGTTGAGCATAATCCGTTTTGTCGAAGTTTTAATATATTTTCACTACAGTATCCAGAATCATAAGTATACTTTCTGGCTCCCAATAAATATCTTAGATTTTAAGAAAACAGAATGAAGAAACAGGATATAATTAATAGAAAACATATATACAAATATATACTAAAGAATATAAGCTATGCCTTGAGAATGTCAAAAAGTGGGTGTTCCACATTGAGAGCTATAGACAAACTATATAGTGTAAATGATAAACTATAATGTTAACTTGAAAAATAGGCATCATACTTATGCATTATAATATAGGTCTTTGCTAACTAGATCCCATCCCTTGCACTCTTTGGGCTCCAGATTCTTGCATCCAACTGCCTATTTTACTTCTTACCCTGGATGTCTAATTAACACACCAAACTTAACAGGTCCAAAAGAAATTTTATTTTCATTCCCCAAATCTCAGTTTTCCTTATCTCAGCAAATGGTTTGCAATTTGCCTAGACATTTGAACCAGAAACCTGGGACTCATCCTTGATTCTATCCATTTGTTCACTCTTCACTCCCTATTCTTGAACTAACAAGTCTTGTTATCTTTCCTTCAAAATAGATCCCAAATTGGTATAGTATTTTCCAGTTTGCCTTCATCATTTTCCAAATACTCTGATGGGAACAAAATCAAATTTCTCCTCCAGGGTCTACTGAGCCCCATATGATCTGGTCTATGGATGACCCAGCTCCTTCTCTTTAAACACTCAGGCTATGTCCTCTGTGGGCTGCTTCGTTTTCAGTTTATTCCATCCAGACTGCAGTCCCCCAGCTTTTCCATGGCTGGATCCCACCTGTCATAACGATTCCTCAGCTCACAGGTCACCATGTCAATGAAGTCTTCCCTGACCATTCAATCTATTGGTCTCCATCACCCCAGCTGGTTTTGTTTCTTCATAATATTATCATTATCTGTAATCACTTTTCTTCATGTGTTTGCTGGCTTATTTTCTCTCTCCTCAAACCAGAGTGTAAGTTACGTGAGAAAAGGGGTCTTGTTTGTCTTCTGTGCCCCTGTCGACTCAAACCTACAACATTACTTGCATGAATGAATGAGTGACATGATCCTATTCCTAGGTAAATCCCTAGGTATGGCAGAGTTATTTAAATAAGATAAACTGCGCAGCAAGAGTCCCCCAGAGGATCACTGATGTCTAGAGTTCCACCACATTCCTCACCTGTCTATATTAAATGCAGTATTAATATTAAGAAAATATAGAGCTAGACCCAATCATAAATGTATGATGGTCTTCAGTAATGTAGAAAATATGGAAGACTGGAAAGTGGGGAAAGAGCTGCCTTCCTAGTCTCAGGGGAAGAGGATAATTACCCCAACCCTCCATGACTAAGAGAAGCCAGTACCTCAGCTTTTTTTTTTTTAAGGACAGTGCGGCTGCCAGCAGTTTGAGGCACATCCAGTGTTTATGCGAAAGGAAATTTTGTAACTGGAGTTTTTAAAAAGAGAAAAAAGATGGGGTTGGGTGGGGGGTGCTAAGTGCTTCCAGCCAGAGAAAACCAACCCTAGGATGTTTTTATACAACTATATACAAACACTCAACTCAGACTGTGGCTTCTGCCTGCAGGTAAATGTCCTTTGGAATATATTACTTACCTGAGATTGACAACAACTCTGGATATACTTAGGGAATACGTGGTTTCGCTTTCTTTTAAAGATTTATATTAAATATCTATGGGGTTTCAAACCACGGCTCATGAGACGTGCAATTTAATTTCTTTGAGGGTGTGGACCATGTCACTTGTTCACTCTGTGGCCCTACTTGAACCCCCTGCTATGCTGGCTGCACAGCAGACACTAACACTTCCTTTCAGGGGAAGTTCACTGAAAGGAATGAACACTGGACAGCAAGAAAGCAAGATGTCCTTGAAGGGATAAGATGTCATAACAAAATGACTTTCTCCCTTTTCCAATCTTTAATGCCAAGAACTGTTTGTACTCTTTCTGTGAGAAATCAACAAAGAGGATTAGGTAATGCAATGCATCTCTGCTAAAAAAAATCATTCAGTTTTCCTTTGGCAAATCTATATTTCTCTCTCTCCTCCTCAACTTGTCTTCAGGTAAGTGGTTAGAGATTATTACACAAACACTAGTCTTTCCTCAAAGAACTTTAATTAAGAATTAGAATACTTAATAGCTAAAATCAACCAGGAGTTCTGCTTTCAATTCTCAGTTCTCTCAAATTCTCTGCAGCTATAGTATTTCCCCCGAATCAGTGCATTACAAATTCAGAGAGGTGAAAAGACTATTTCATTTCATTTTAAAAAGTCAAAGGAAAACACCTTGAAAAAAAGACTTGTAGCAAATATGATGAACTGTTAGTTCCTTTATTATATGAAACGAGAGCTCAAATGAATAAGATAAAACATTATGTGCCAAAGAGATAAATGAGTAAAAGACTCAGAAGAGGTATTTTAAGAGGGAAATACAGCTAGAAAACTATCCCACCTTGTCAGTAATCTTAACAAAGAAATTAAAAATGTTTGTTTCTAGTCTATAAAATTATAAATAAAATTAGAAATCTTTTCCTCGTTTTTTTTTTTAAAAAATAGGACATTCTTTGTTCAAACAGAATATCACTACGAAGCCCAAGCAAGTTGGGTTTCATCTACCATAGTTGACAGGGTGGGCCGTGGAAACTGGCCTGTTCTCCCTGTTCTCCATCCTACAGGGACTTTTGAGGAAGCTTAAAAAGCATAACGTGTTTTAGGTGTTACCCACGTAAGTAAAATGCAAGCGTTATTGACTGACAACAACAACAACAAAAACAACTAGTGTCGGGCTTCCCTGGTGGCGCAGTGGTTGAGAGTCTGCCTGCCGATGCAGGGGACACGGGGTCGTGCCCTGGTCCGGGAAGATACCACATGCCGCGGAAGGGCTGTGTCCGTGAGCCATGGCCACTGAGCCTGCGCGTCCGGAGCTGGTGCTCCGAAACGGGAGACGCCACAACAGTGAGAGGCCCGCGTACCGCAAAAACAAAAACAAAAACAAACAACTAGTGTCTAGTTTTCCATGAAGGACACTGGAAGACCACTATTTTTAATACCACTCAGCATTGATAAGAGACTGTGCAGTGGGCATACTCCCACATTGTCGATGAGATTCTAAATCACATCCACCACTCTGAACAGCAGTCTGGAAATATGCCATAAAAAAATCGCCAAAATACCCATGCCCTTTGACTACCTTCACTTCTGAGGCCCTACATGAAGATACTAAGTACAGCATCGTTTAAGGTGGTAAAACTTTAGAAAAAAATTAATGCATGAATCCAACCATTCAATAGATCCTTACAGAGCAAATGATCTTGCCAAAGTTAATGTTGCTAATAAAGGATGAGAGGAAATAAGAATGGCTGGGGGCACGGTCTCGAAAAGCCATGAAGAAGTTCATTAGGTAGTGCTTACTATGTCCTATACTGAAGGAGGCTTTCATTTTACTGGAGGGCATTAATTCCTTAAATTACATAGTCCAGATATCATATCATCAAAGAATACAATGAAAACTATATGAGAAAATACGTAGCTTGTGGCATTATAATTATTCTACTGGGAATCCTCAGGTAAGACCACAACTCTGATATTGGCAAAATCTCCTAGAGGAAAATAAAGGTCAAAAAGCTAAAACACTTTTCTGGGACTCCTTGTCTTAGCTATGGATGTGGGGAATCTTTAGCTATTTGAAGTACTCCTGACCAAAAAAAAAGAGGAAGGATGGCTTCTCCCACAAGGAGGCAGGTCAGGAGTTAGATGGAAGGTCTCTCCATGGCAAACTCCAAGCTTAAATTTACAGGCATTTTGTAAATAAGATTATCCAGTTTCAGATTCTTCTCTGTGTTATCTCTCCTGTGTAATTCCATATCTTTAATAAAGTCTTATTTAAATGCCTCCAGCCTCGTCTCAGTTGTGCTGTGGGTAAAGAAAGGCAACCTCTGTCACCATCCTTCAAAGGGGCTGGTTTTGATTTGATTACAGGCTGAGAAACTTCCTTGTAGCCTCAAGAATGCTTAGACAATCAGACAGTGAAAAAATAAGCATCTCAAAATACAAATGAGACCAGGAAAAGGACAACAACTTCTGAGGGCAAAAAAGCAAACGAACTAACAAAGACAAGCTTTAGGCTAATGCAACTGTCTCTGCGGGTCTATTTTCAGAAGGGGGCAATTTATCAAAAGTTCATGGAAATGATTGCTTGAGGTGGTGGGGAGACAAGTGCAAATCAAAGCAAAGTTTCTTTTTAAGTTTACAGCAAAACCAAACAAAAAGATATTCTGATGTAATCACTTATTCAAAAGAAAACAAATAGAAAAACAAGTATAATCATTGTTATTAGTTTCTGAGTGTTATTTAAAGACCAGCATTTTAAAAGACGATCTAATTCAACCCTTGGAATAACTGCTTTCTGTAAACACAAAATAATTTCATAATCAGATGCATGCTATGTTTACAGAAATTTTAATCCATCTAAACATGAAGTGGACTGGATTGCGAGTCTGTCTTCTCCTGCCTCAATATAAAACACATTAGCACATTCCTGATATCCTCCTTTTATTTTCTCTGACTTGCTTTATACTCATTTTATCTTGGGGTTTTGCATATATCTTTGTAAGTCAGTTAAACTATGTTCTGGAAGAAAATGGATTACAAGCAAACCAATTATTTTCTCTCAATTATTTTCTTTTTCTTTCTGAAGTTACGTTTTCTCTCTGACAATGATTACTCTTACCTTAGGTTGTTTACAAAGGTAGCGACAAAGTTCTCCAATGTACTGAAACACAGTCACATTATACTTTTTGCAGTCGTTCCAAAATTGGCTTGCTGAAAATTTCTTCTTTAACACACAAGTAGCACCTACGAGAAAAGGTATAAAAAAGGCAAAAGGGAAAAAAATTCAAGGGCAGGATGAACATAAAACACAAATGATGTTGCTCTGTCTAGAACACTATTGCTCACTTTCAAGCCTTTTATAATCCATCAGTGGCCATTTATATCAAGCTCATTTGAAAACATTAATATACCAGTCCAATAAGTCTTTTAAAAATATTCATGTCGTAATTTTATATTTTGACTATAGATATACTTTTTGTAATATATGGGATGAAAGAAGCAGTCAAAATATGTAGGAGAATTACAAGTATTAGAGCATGAATATAGATAAGGTCATCCTTCTTCACAGAAACCAAGAATATTCACTTACTTTCAACGTTGAATATATACATAGTATTCATTTCTAAAAACTTTTAAGCAGTCTCAATATAGTTTGAGATTGAGAGCTGGTAAGGTAGAGTTAGTATGAAAGCACCAACAAAAAGGTTCATTGATGACTGCTAATTTTAACAACCTAATTTTAATAACAATGTCAGTCATATGAATATGTTCCAAGGAAAATGCTAATGTCTTGACTCTCATCTTTATTTATTGTGGACATTGATCATACTTTAAATATACTATTCTATAAGATTATAGTATTTTAGACAAACATAAATAACGGTGAATTATCTCTGTGTATTATTTCTGGGCTAACTAGTAACAGACACATAATCTCAGCATGGTTATGAATGGAATCTACTGAGTCACCAGCTCTACCAACTGACTTCTTGGCTATCTGGGGTACAGTGTTTGCAAAGATAGCCTCAACAATTTCTCCTACGCCCTTACCTTTGCAGTGTGAATTTGCCACCCTTCCCTTCAAGAAGTGGGGTCTCTTTCCCCACGCTTCAAATCTTGAATTTAAACTGCCTTGTGACCTGCTTTGATCAACAAAGTGCAGGTGAAATGATCCATGTTACTTCCAAGGAGGCCAAGACTTAAGAGCTACACAGCTTCTGAGTTCACCCTCTGGGAAGGCTCCTACCACCATTTAAGGGCAGGGGCGGCAACCACTCAAGGGTGAGCAACCACATGGAGAGGGAAGTCCTGTCTACAGCCATATCCAACCACAAGGCCAAATTACTGCTCCTTCCATTCAGGCATACACTGAAGTATGTGACGAAATTGTGTCCTTTTAATAAATATTTTTTTATAATTGTATAACATGCACACGATCACTCTGAATTCTACTGATAGAGTTTTGCACTTTAATGAAGGCAAGTTCCAATTATTAGGCATTTTGAGAACGTATGAAACAGAAAATAAAAGCTTACCTAACTCAATACATCCACCAATTCCCAGGAGAGATCCTGCACTATGATACAGAGGAAGGGTTATATAAATGATGTCATTGGAAGTACAACCAAAAGCCCATAATCCAGCAGAACTCTTCATAGCCTGCAGCTGACAAATCACAGCTGCTTTTGGGAGACCTAGAAGAAAAGAAAGAAAGAAAGAAAGAATAGAATAGATACTATGCTGGTATCAACTACAACAGCAGTTGAGACAAAAATACATCAAAATGGTCTATACCCTCGGTAAAAGGGGCCATACAAATGTCAGCTACAACTGTAATTAATCTCTAGAATCTTAGATCTACCCAGAAGGATTAAAACTATAAAATTACATAGAGTTTGAGATCTCATAAGGTTCAAAGAGCCATATCTGCTATAAAGATGCCAAAAATATATCATTCTTTCTCTGGTTCAACATATTTATCGAATAAAGCCCAAGTTGTCATGGGTTTTTGGTGACAGCACATGTAGCTATGAACCCCAGTCTACAGTGACTTCCAGACACTCACCAGGGTGAGCCTCAAGTCCACCCTGCTGCTGCACCTGCTTTGATATTTTCTGACAGGCTTTGTGCTCCATTTCCATTAACTGGAAGATCTCATACACAAAATTGGCATGATCTTGCCTACCATCCTAACCAAAATTCATTTATTACATTTTTTCAAAAGATGTTTCTGTGGCTTTTCCTGATAGGTTGGCATCTCACACCCTAAAAGGGTTTATTGTCATCCACATGCACAGGGAATCCCTCCAAAATTTCTCCTCAAAGCCATGTATAAAGATTTTGAGTGAGACTAGCATCCTTGATCCTTGATAATGCAATGCCTTTCTCTTCTTCATTGAGAGAATCAAATATTTATGCATTTTCTGCTTCCGAGAAGTTCCCACCTACTGTTCTTCAGTCACCATATTCCCTACTTTCCATATTGTTCCTGACTTCATGGCAACCCAGCCTTAAAAATAACTTTTCAGTTGGAGGTATGTCGAAAAAAGAAGGATGCTTTATCTAGTTATTTTCCACCTGTGTGCTTATGTCACTCCTGTAAAGCACTTTAGTGAGCGTATTAGTCATGTTTTCGTTCCTAATTTGGTTAGCTTTAAGTGAATAATGATCTCATTAATTTATTATTAAACCATTCAAGATACTTAGACTTTTTGATAAAGGAGACAACAGATAGGAGCTTATCCAACAAATGAAAGTGATCAAAGGTTCATGGAGTTTAAAGTTTTAAAGAAGGAAAGAAGAACCAACAGAATAAATGAAGCTTGCTAAAACTGCAATTTAGAGTCCCTTCTTGGAAGAGTTAGAAAGCACATTAACATATTAAAGCTTTCGACCAGCCCAACAGTACAGAAATGTTACTATTTCTTCAATGATGTTTCTCAAGCTCATGTGGTCATAAAGCCCCTTTACAACTTTTATTTCCCTTCTTTGTAGACATGAAGGGACATGCTGTGCCACATGCCTGGAGAAATGCTACCTTAGATGGTCTCTGAAGTCCTTTGCTCTTCTAACCTTCTATGAATCCCTAGCATTGAAACTCCCCACATGTCCGCAGATGTGAGGAGACCACTGGGATAAGGTCCAGGCGTAAAGGTGGGAGTGAGGCTGTGGTCAGTGAATTGGGGATTAGCAGGGAGGAGGAGGAACAGATGATATCAAGAGAAAACCAATTTAGGGGCAGGGATGAAAAAATCTGGGGAATTCGGGGATAATTTTGGAAAAAGGAAAGAATCCATAAGATTAAAGAGAAGGAGAGACAAAAGTAAATAGAGACTTAGATGGTGATAGCAACTGGCCCCAGGCGCAGCATGGAAGGCAGTTCTGTCTTTTTCCCCCTCCCACTACTTACCGGAGTGGCTGAAGGCAAGGCTGCTCTGACCAGGCTTAAATAGCCTTTCCTAGAGATCTTCAGGCACCTAACCAATTTCAGTGAGCAACAACAGAACCAGAAGCTGGCAGACTGAACACATACATAGGCCAAAAGAATGGAATTGGAGATGACAGCAACACAATTTTAGAAAGGCAGATGAGGACTTCCCTGGTGGTCCAGCAGGTAAGACTCTGCACTCCCAACGCAGGGGACCCAGGTTCGTCGGGGAACTAGATCCCACATGCATACCGCAACTAAGAATTCACATGCCACAACTAAGAGCCGGCGCAGGGAGGGAGGGAGGGAGGGAAGGAAGGAAGGAAGAAAAAAAGAGAAAGGCAGATGGACAACTGGTGACTGACACGGCAGACCCAAGAAGATGAAACCGAAGCTGAAGCCTTGAAGAAAGTTGGTTTGCTCCCACAGAACCCCAGCGAGGCTCAGAAACTTGATGACCAGGTAGCCCCCAGAGTGGAATATCAATATGGAACTATAAAGAGGGAGCTAAATGGGAGTTTTGTTTAAGATGCAATTCCATTAGAGTCATAGATAAGGGAATCACCCCTTGTTCATCAAGATCTCACAGTATCTCCCAGGTCAAAGACATGTGAATGGTATAAAAACTGACCGCAATCCTTTCCTTACTCAGAGATATTCTAAGTCTGTTCCTGGGTCCATGGATATAATATTTTGGTGAGCATGAGCAAACAGGACTTCATAGTAGTAAAATGATTAGGAAACATTCAATATAATCCAAAATGCTCCCTTATAACCTGCCTGAAAGGGCCTATGAGCAAACTCTACTTCCATCTTAATTTTTCCAAGTCTCATTTCTTTACATCACTTCGTAACTTGCACCAACACCTTCATCGTTATCAACATTATAAAATTTTTATGTGAGATTCAAGTGATTTTTATGATAATAGGTGACATACTAATATTAATTCTCATGTTTATTACAATTATCATCACTTAATTCAGCTCTGGGTTTTGAGTTGCAAGACATCAGCTTATATTAGAGAGAGAGAACAAGAGAGATGCTTTTAATAAAAAATGTCAATCAAGTCTCTAACAAGACTCAACGTGAGACAGGTTGGGAGCTGGCGCCTGGGATCCTTTATTGGAGTTGCTTCACCTTGAGCAACAGAATACAAAGAAACTATAAGGGACTAAAAATAACTGCATGCATGCACAGTTTGAGGCAATTATGAACAATAAAATACAAAAAGGCCACAAATCAACTGCCATTTCTTAGGTGCCCGGAGCAAAAGCAGGTTACTGCACGTGATCCCTGCACAAAGTACCACCAAGGGGGTGGGCAGAACACCTAAGCCACCCCCCAGCCCAACCCACCAATCCACCCCTACCCTCACCCCATTTAAGGAACCAGTCCCTCCTCAGCGAGTAAGGGTACCTGTTACTTGTTTTCACTTCCTCATGCTGCAGCATGAGTCCAATAAAGCCTAGCATGAATCCCTCATCTGACCTCTTATCAATTTCTGTTGAGTAGAACTTAATCAATTTCTATTGATTAAAAAGTCCAAGGGCCCTAGTCAGTAAAAAATGTGATTTTGTTACATTCTTTGATAGCTTTGTATTTATAAAGCATGACATCTACTATATGCCTAATTCTGTATGTTGCTCTGCTCTGATCTCTACAAGACCCCATGTTGCTCAGAACTTTAAGCTAACAGGATATGCTATCTGTATAACTTTCCCTGTATAAGATCATTCACAATCCAAATTTGGAAGAATGTCAATAAATGCTTTTGATATTTTAAAATGCAAAAAATAAAATAAAATAAAATTACAGCCCCAGATTGCTTCCTCCACACTGGTATAAGAGCTAATGTGTATTCTCTGGAAAAAGATGAGCCTCTGGAAACACCAGGAAGAAGAGAGGTTGAACAAGTAGGGAGAATAAAAGAAAGTCTGCATCCTTCTCCAGCTCCCTTTCCACACTTGACTAGTTTTCCCTTCAAGATTCTTATGTGAGGAATCTAAAGCGCCCAGAAGTAAAAACTGACAGTCACGAATCTCCCAACAAAATGTCATGAACAATGAAAATAACCAGCCCACAATCCCACTCAATCACACAGAGCTTCTAGTTAGGATCTGGTTTGTTTCTGTGTGTGTGTGTTTTGGTGGCTGCATTTTAAATATGAACAGCCAAAGGTCACAAGATATTTGAGAAAATCCTCTAGGGTAAAGAACAGAGACCAACATAAAACAAAAGATAAAAGGATGTCAGAGAAAATAGAGACAAGGTAGAGAGGAGAAATTTTCAAAAAATATTAATATTCTGAGAGATATGACACAATGAAGTATCAATAATACAAAAATAACATGCTACAAAATGAGAAATAGTAAGAGAACACAAGGGTTAAAAGATAAATCTCTCAAAAAGTAAATCAAGGGGTCCCATCAGTGAAAAACAGATTTTTTTTTTTTTGGCTGACTGCTAAAACTTAAATTTTAGAAAGTCATCTCTTGTCAAAAGGTTTACACCTTCCCATCCTGATTTTAAAAGCATGTCAAACAATCCACATCGGATGCCATAAACGTGAACTGCAAGAGTTGAAATGGTACAATCTTAGTGAATGGGAATTGGAATCAAAAGGGTTTCTTCTTAGAATGCTCTAAATGTCAAGGCAGTTGCTTGTGTTTAACTGTGAACAAATAAAAATTTATTGTTTTGCACTTAAAAAAAAGTAAATCAAAAGGTAACAGAAAGAAAATAGGATATAAAAGATTAGAAAATTAATAACTAAGTGCAAGGAGGCCAATCTTTAAAAAGTTAGAGTTCCAAAGATAAAAGAACCAACAAGCAAACAAATATAATAGAAGGAGGGAATGGGCAGAAAGAATAGAAATAAAGAAGGAAGAAGAATATGTAGACACCTTAAAAAAAAATTTTCAAGTACCTAGACTTGCAAGACATGAGTTTCTAGATTTAAAAGGCTTACAAATTTACCAGCAAAATGGATAAGCAAGACTGGTTCCAGTACAAATAATCATGATATCATAGACTACTGAAGGCTAATAAAAGTTTCTAAAAATCCCAAAAAAGAAAGAAAGAAAAACAATACCAGGTTGCAAGTAACGGATTAGAAATCAGAAAGAAAAAGACTTCTCAATATGTGTACTGGAAGACAGAAGATAAAAAAGCAATGCCTTCAAACCCCTGCATCAATATAATTTCTAATCTAGAATTCTATACAAACAAGTGTAAGGGTAGAAAAAGACACTTTCAGGCATATAAGGACTTAAAACATACCTGCTAAATACTCTTTATCAAGCAGCTAATGAAAGCAGTGCAGTGATAAAATGAAAAGCAAACTAAGGAAATGAATTTAGAATCTAAGAATCAAGGGATCAGAAAAAAAGAAAAGAGTTGAAGGGAATTCTCAGGGGGATGGTGAGGAATGAACCCAGGACAGTAAGAGAGCAACATGTCAAGACTGGAATCATAGGGAGGAAAGGTGCAGCCAAGAACGTGGGCTTGAAAGAATACAGACTAGCTTTTCAATATCTAAAGGTGAGTTACTTTTTGATAAAGGGATGGGTACGAACCACTTATAGGTGTATAGAAAACTAAGCAAGCAAACAAACAAAAACAAATGATTAATCCAAGGTTGGGGAGAGTTTTACATGAAAGGAAATAAATATAATTTTGTTACACTACAGAGCTCAGCAAGCAATAGTATTTACTAAGTTATGATACTGATACCAATCAAACAAAAATTTATGATGAAACTATTAGGGTGACATTGGGGAGAGAAAGTATCCACACCAGAAAGAAAGAAATGAGTGGAGGGAGAGAGTGGTAAAGAAAGAAGATAAAATCCTCATCTTCCATTGTGGAAAAGCAGTACATACTTTTTAGTAGGTACCTATTAAGTATCCAGTAAAATACTATTAATAAATCTATTTAGATAAATGGAGGTGATTACAGAAGGAAAGATCTAAAATTACTGAATGTAATTGGTTTCAGGATAGAGAAATAGAGGAGTAAGCAGGGTACTTTTCTCTAAAATTTTTAAAACTATTAGAATTTTTCATCTCTGTGCTGTATAACTTTAATACAAATAAATATCAAACAGAAAAAATTAATAGCGTTTTTGCTTTCAGCCTGTTGTGCAAATGTATCAAACACTCTGGTTTTAATCTTCAAGAACAAAAGATGTTAATAGTCTGCTCCACACTATTCTCTTTTCGGGTGGGGAAGGGGGGTCGGAGGGAGGGGGGAGAGGTAAAGATTGTTTTGAAGACCAGAGTCACTTTCTATTTTTACAAGAAAACACCATAAAGACAAATTGGTCAAGTACCTTCCGTTGGAAGTTTTCAATGCATATAATTTCTAAAATTTTATTGACTCTTTCAAAGTCCAAAGTCAGTCTGAATTTATGCTGGCGACTTGATACATATTAGCATTTCCTAGTTCATTTATCAAAGCTGTTGCGAACAAAGCCAAAAAGAAAACCATAGTCTACTCTCCAGTATAGAGGAGATCATTGTTAGACTCCAAATAGGAAAAAGAAAAAGAAAAAAGTAAGAAAATTTTACCAATGCAAGAGTAGTTTTGCTTACAATACTACCTGTGCATAAGAAATTAGTACCAATAATTTTAATATGCCTCTAATTCAAAATCCCAGTCACCTTCAAATTAATTACAAAAGCTTACTTAGACTACCAAAGATATCATTCAATTTTTCTTAAGAATCAATTAAGTTTAATATTTCTTTTGAATTCTCAGGTAGTTTCACATTCTTTGTGTGTGTGTGTTGTTGTTTACCTAAAAAAAGGAAAGTTTAGTTACTTGATTCTATTTTGTATCCCTCCTCAAACCTGCAATGCCTTCAAGATTTTGTTTTCCACATGTTCCAATCAACTTATGCAAAACAAGGAGAGCCAGCTACAGGTGCTTAAATTGCAGCTACACTTGGATTGTGCTTAGGATTTAACATTTTATACAAGAGTTAAGAAAATTGTTTTAAAGTAGGCTAATGGATTTTTTAATCCAGCAGGTTAATTAGAAATTACTTAAACTAATCTTTTCATTTTATACATTAGGCATCCAAGGGAAGCTAGCAAAGATCCTGCCAAAGAAGCTGGCCAAATTCCACACTCTGAGCAACCGGGTTGGGTCAAGTCTTCACACATTCCTGTGCCATTTGTACTATCAAACTTGAAGAAAATCTTTCCACGTGAGACAATGGCCAAGTGAACACGGTGACTTGTCAAGTTAAAGTTAAAGCAATTACCTTTTTCATCCAAGTTTGGGAGTTCAAAGATCTAAGAACCCCAGGCCTTCTTGGATGCATGCTTTCTGAGATGTCTGGTGACTATGAAACCGAGCCCCCCCTAAAACCAAGTTCTCTTACCAACTTTATGATTAATCTCTCTATATCCAAAGCTTTATTCCCTTTCTTGTCCCCTCTGACCTCAATTCTGGGCTAACTGAACAATAATCAACCAGAGTCAGATGACTAAAATTACTCTTGCGGATAACATTGTTAATGTACTAAAGTAGCTATTATAGATATCATTGACGTGTAAACTCAGGTTGTTTCTCCAGGGTGAGATGAGCTCACAGACCCTCAAGCCATGAACCACCTGGTCAGAGAGTTGTAAACCAGAGACAGCCTGACTCCCCGGAAACTGTCACAAAAATGTCACAAGCTGATGATTAACCCTAGCTTCTTTGTTCTTCCCCTTTAAGAAATCCCTAACTCAAAGATCAAGCTGGAGTGGATCTGAGGCTGGGCACCCTGCAATAAATCCTTACTGGGCTGCAGACTCCCACTGTCAGAGTTTGGCTTTCTGTGTCAAGGGCACAATGAGTTCTTTGCTCAGTTACAACTACACATGGCAGAGATTTGCCTGAAACTGCTGCTTTGCAAATACGCTGCATTCTTCTTAAGTTTCAAGAACAAATGGATCTTACCTGTTGTTCCAGAAGTGAAAATATAAAGATAAGGAGCCTTGAGGTTTGAGGCAACATGGTGGCTGTGTGGCACCTGACTGTCAGATGCTGTGCTCAGTTTTTCTTTGAGTGAAATTATGCCTTGTGGAACAGATTCTTTCATTGCCCAAACACTGATATCTCCTGGGAGGCTCGGAAGGATCTCTTCTATAGTTTCAAGCAAATCTGAAAGCCAAAGGGTTAGGAGTAAGTAAATAAGACATAAATCTCAAAGCACTCACCTTGTGTGTTCTTTTGCATGTTGGAACAGGGATATGTAAATACAACGCTTACTTCCTTTTCATGTTGGATAAGTAACATCTCAGCCATTTTATGAGTATGTTTCAACATGACCAACAGAAAGGAAAATCTAGTTATTACCTGATTTAATCAATGCAAATAGCCTAATTCAAATTGAACTTTGGAGATTCCATTATCCAGATTGTGTTTTTTTCCCAATTTTTAAATAAAACTCTATTTTCGTACTTTGCTTTACATTTAAATTCAGGACACTGCACTAAACATTCTCCTTGAAATACAACTCAGTAGCTCATTATTCCAAAAAGCCATCTGTCTGTCACTGTTTAGTTCTACTATAATGTAATGATCCAGTAGAAATACCTGACTGGATTCACAAGATTCACAAGATTATGGCTTAGAGACCATTTCAGAGTGAAAAGTTAAATGAGGAGATTCAGAGATGCTCTTTCCTCTGGATTAGAATAATTAAAGGTAAAAGGTCTTTGAAAGCAAAAGGAGAAAAAGAACGCCTTCCAGAAAAGGCAGTAGGATCCATGGTCACAGCAGGCTATGACAATGGCAAGTGAGAGCGGGCTGGTGAAAGCAGAGCCTGTGTCAGCAGCAGTGGGATCCAAGGCCTGGCTAGAACCAACGTCAAACAAAAAAGAAGGCAGAGGAGTAGAAAAGCCAGAAACACGGGTGTCTTCAGGACTGAAGAGCTTAGGGGTCCTCACAAGGTCAAGGGTCTGGGTTGAAATTCAGACTGGAGAAAGGAAAAGGGATACTTATCTCAGGAAGCATCTACTGTACACATTAACAAATGAGCAACTGTGGAAGGGAGACTGTGTTGAGTCACTCTGGTAGATTGAATTAGACCTTCTTAATTTGATCTTTAATGTAGGAGAAACTGTCGTCTGTCCAGGAGGAGGGTAGTGGTAGAGAAGGAGGGAGATGGAGAGTGGGTGCAGGTCCTGGAGAAGGAAATATTCAGCGTGAAGGTATCTAGCACTCGATGGGGTACAAAAGAA